TTTTTTCCTACCTCGCTGCCCTCCACTTTCCCATTCTGGAGCGCTAGCTTTCGCCCCCCCCTTGGCCTCAAGTCCTTCCAGGCTTTTTCAGGTCCATGCTCAACCAAAACTCATTGACTTAAACGTTCAGTCCACTTGGGCTTGCTTGATAGATCAAGAGCGTCATAATGGGTGGTCCCGTTGTAGAGCACATGGGTGGTACCGCTCCTCCGATCTCTCCGGTCGCTTGGTCAGAGTGAGCAGCCTTGGCGTTTGTCCCAGGGTCGGCCGGCCATTGGAGCGGATCCGGGCGTTAGTTGGAGCGGATCCGACGCGTGTGTGTTCAAGGTGGACTGGACTTGTGTTTTTCATCACCCATCAATGAGTTCTTATAAAATGCTGGCCAAGCAGTCATTGTAGGAGGATGTGTTTTCAACATGTCGTTGCTCTGGATTCTCGACAGGCCAAACCACACTGCGGTGTCACCACACACCGATGTGTAATGCACAGGCACACCAACCAACAAGGTATATATTAATTGTTTTTCGAGCTTCATACAGCTTCCATCAGCTCCTGTTGAGATCAACACTTGGTAGCTTGGGTCTAGTAGACGTGGAGGTTGGTTGAAGGTGAAGTGGAAGGAGGTGGTAAAACAAGTGGATCTCCAAGTGGCCAGAAAACGAAGTCCGGCAAGAAGTAGATCGCGCCTTTTCAGCGCTCGCGTCTCAGGAAGCTAGTCGAGCTTCCTCCACATAGCCATATGGCCACGTCGCGCGGCCCGCCCTTAAAGGAAAATGGCCGCAGTGCACATCAATGATCTTTGATCATGATTTCATGGCATGAAATTCTCAGCTCCTTATTGCACTATCTTGGGGCAAGATCTTTTGTCGGGAGGGTGAGTCATGTGATCGGTCAACTTCGATGTTGAAAAGATGAGGACGGTTCAAAGCTTGGATCTGATCAGCAGCTATACATAGAAGATTTGGACAAATGTAGAATCATATTTGCATTTCATCCGTGGCTTTGAATTGGAGTCCAGAAAAGTTCAGACGGATCAAGTCGTGGTGTTGACGTCTTGAGAAAAGAAAAAAAGGGGCTCCGGCTCCCCGCTCTCATCCAATGTCGTTCTTTGGCCGTTTCTCGGGCGATGGAGAATGTGCTTTTGCGGTTAGCATCATGTTTCCAACAAGACCCAGGTCCTGCAGGTTTGAGCCATGATTTAAGCATAGTTAGACCGGCTGGTGATTAAAAAAACTTCAAGTCCTCCAAAGAGACCCATGATCATGGACAGGCCTTCTGAATCCCATCAGCTACATAAATCCTCCAAAAACTCAAAAAGCAGAAGACACATGGAACAAAAAAAAGGAAAAACAAAGCAGCCCGTGGCGATGCTCCTGGCCGAGTCGCGACCGATGTTGTAGGTCGGTTGCATAGCACCGCCCTGCACTGCGCAGGGGGATTTGAAGATGGTGGGCGGAGGCAAGTATACCGTGTTGCTTTCCGGTGATGTCTATAGCCCATCTAAATACATAGCTGTCAGCAACATATGATAACATGCAGAGTTTCCCAAGAAGATGTACTTTCCTTTGTTTCTGAGGAAGTGTGAACTTGTCCATTCAACGGTATGCCGCATGCCGGCCTATTGATTCCTGTGCGCAGGAGCAGGCAGTGGTCGTTTTGATCTTTCAAGTATCGGCGGCCTAAGAGTGGCCAAGAGGCAAGATGCCTTGGTACAGTAATCCCTCCCTCCTGCTTGATCAACCGCACACGCAGTTGAAAAATAGAATTAAACATGACGGGGCTGCAATGATACCAATTGATTTGGGGGTTCTTTCTGAGATCATGTGCTTCAAAAGACTTTGTAGACATGGCTTAAAACCACTTGCAGATTGTACCGATAGGAGACGACAGGGGAAGGGATTGACCTCCTTTTGGGGTTTTGGCTTAATCGGACTTGAGTCTTTTTCGACTCGCTCGTTAAAGAGTCGCGCGCTGCACGTGGCAAAAGGAGGTGCAGGTGGTTCCATGCTCCGATGGCATCGCAGGGGAGCTTCTTGCTTTTTTAGGGGAAGCGAAAGATCGAAATCAGCGGTTTGTAGTTTATATTCTGAGTGAGGCCGTGGCAGGTTGGGTTAAAAGTCTTGAGTCTTAGGTGTCCGCACGGATGCATGTTTCAACCGAATCCACAAGATTGGTTCATTCTTCGATTGTAATTTGCCAGTCATTTGGGTGTGTGTAGGAAGACTTGCCCAAAAACTACTATGGAAACACATGGAAACCATCCTGATCAGCTCCTTGGTTTGATTGGTTTGATATTGCTTTGAAAGGTTTCTCATGAAAGAACACACTCCTCCTGCAGCGAACAGGCTCGGCTCGTGACGACTCGACCGGGACCCACTCGGGGCAGCGCCCCCCCGACGCGCCTTCGAGGCACTCCTTATGGCTGGGAGTCGTTTGGTCTTTGGTCTATAAAGTGATTCTACCTTTAAGATTAATATGGACAATACTTGCTCCATAGGTTTTTGTTTTTTAAACATATAGTAATTATTGATGTGTTTTTGTTGAAGTGCTTTTCTTCACTGGTTTGGTAAGTCGTTTGGATGCTGCGTTTTCGTGGCCGGGCAAGCTGACTTCGCCCGGGTGACTTACTGTATAACCGTCTTAACTCGGGCGCTGATCGGGTCTGGTTCATCTGGGTGAAGGAACAAATCATTGAGTTCAGATCGGTGTGCCTTCAACTGATGGTTTCCTTGGCGCCCCTCGGAGAACAAGGATGGCCCGGTGGTATTTGGTTCTATTTTGGGCGATGGCCAAAATTGATTTCGTGAATTGGGCGGGGAACATGATGGTCAAGTCTGTAGAAAGAGAAGATGGTGAAGACGACATGAGTCCTGGGCGAACACCTTGAGAACCAAGGGATGATCACAGATTCTTGGCTCAAGGCAAACAAAGATGGCCTTTGGGGACAGGGGAAGGGCCCTTTGGAGGAATACACTTCCTTTGTTCTGCCGCGCGCTCAAAGAGAGGGAGGAGTAGTTTCTTGGGACGCGTCATTGATTGAACACCTGGACTCTTCAGTTCTTCATTCTTGTGCATTTGATTGTCATCAGAAGGGTGTTTTGGTGGGTTGCAGATGGTTGATCAGCTTCATTTGAGGGGTCATCGACGCCCTGCTTTAAGGCCAGTGGGGGTGCGCCCTTTTTGATCTAATTGTGAAGTTCAGTCAAAGCCCCAAGAAGATCCCTTCCTCATGAGTCAAATGTCCCGACGCCGTCACGGCACAAGGTGCGCACAGAGCCATTCCGCATTTTGCAAAAGGGCCGCGACCCTCGTTTGAGCTAGGTACATGGTTTGCACGTATCTTGCTTAGACTAATAAAACATGTAGAAGAGCATTGTGCAAAATGTCTATTGGCGATTGAGGAAAAGAAGAGGGCATGGCTTTTCATACTGTGCAAAGTTGCCCTGAGCAGTCTCACCAGAAAAATCTATTCTGAGGCTCGGCAGCGATCATGACGTATGTTTCGTGTGCAATCACGTGCCATGTCATGATAAGGCCCTGCAGATAGGGACTGACTTGACATATCATGGGGTCTTTGACCGTTTGAGGGGGGAAAACACTCTTGTGCGGCGATGAGCGCGTGATGGTTGCAGGAACCCAGCAGATGTGGCTAACACGATGCAACACAGAGAGATAGATGGAAGAGTTCTCCCCAAACTCCTTTGTAAATCCCCTTCCCATTGTTTGAACATGCCGTAACATACCTGACACATGAACATTACATGAACATTCCATTCCGTGTTCTTTCCCCCAGCTCTCACGGCAAAGATGCCGCGTTCGGCGGACCCTGCACCCCATGCTTCGGGCGCCTTCGGGCTCTGCCGCGAGGCCTCAGCTCCGTGCGCACGGTGCCTCGCTCAGGGACTCATATGCGGAGAACCGAGAATGACCCACTTCGGAGTATCAATAATCGATGGATCTGCGAAGAACTTCACTTGCATGGGATTTGGGAGAACATCATAGAACATCGTTTGGCTCCGGTGATGGATCATCTTTGATGCCCGACGGGATCCTTCTTGCGAGGCCAGCTTCACACGGCAAGATGCTGAGTGAAGATGTTTGTTTGAATGCATCAAGATGCATCAAGAATATGGAAAGATCATGAAAGATGAGTTCAATCGAATTCAACTTCTTTGCTTGAAGCTGGTGGGCTTGCATCGACACTCTTCCGATGCAGAAGCAAGAAGTGAGGACCCAGAAGAAGAGGTGCCGCAAAGTGGGTTGGAACTCTGAGTCGCAGCGGACCACGCCACCCACCCTCCCCTCCTGTAGCTCACACGAAAGAAGCTGGTGAATGAAAGAAGCTGAACAGATCCAAAGAAATGATGTGTGTCCATTCGATTCTGGGATGCTTGGTCTTGCCATCGAAGCATTTACACGCAATTGGAACCTACCTACCAGCCAGCTTTTAATGTCCACCTAATACCATGGGCAAATAGCCTTCTCAGGCTGAGGACCGGATCAAAGAGCAGTAGATGACTTGATTGCTCCCAGTAGCGATGCCAGGAGCCCCTAGTAGCGTCCGAACGTTCCCTAGTAGCGATGCCTGTTCTTTGCTCCAAACATTCCTTCCTTCCTGTTCGACATCTGAAACACAATGTGGCCAGGGCAGCCTTGAGATGCCCGTGCGGGACATCAAAGGGTTGATGTGCTTTCCGAAAGCTGCAGTCACTTGAAGACCTGTGCTCGTGTTGAGTTCTCGACCCAATTTTACTTGAAACTTGAAACGGTCATTTCATTCAGCTTCAAACATCTAAGAAATTATTGGAACTTGGGCGACTCATGAAGTCATCAACCCAAAAACGATGTGCCCACATCGCGTGGCTTCGAGGCCTGACATCGAGCTGGATGATTCCGGCGCTGCCAGGAGTTGGGGATTTGTACTTTTGGAGTTGGTGATTTTGGCACTTCCAGACACTTCCCAGACACAACTCAGCTGCACTCCTTTCCTTTGGAATTTCTTGGGATTGACCTAGATGTTGGCCTGGTCGAGGGGCGCTCTCATCGTTGTAAACCTGTTTTTTGGGGTGGTGTTGCCGGGTGGTTGGTTTCATGTTGTTTCTATAAAGTTAAACAAAATCTTCATTTGCTTTGCCAGAGACTCGTTGAATTCGCGGCATTGCCAAGAGAGCCCTCGAAAGTTTAAGCTGCTTCTGCTTTCATGATAATTACAGCTCTGGAGTGGCGGTTGTATCAAAGAAGAACACCTTTTCGGAAATCAACAAAGAGCAACGTTTGGCGAATTTCCCACAGGAAGCGCTCCAGGACCCGCCTAAGGCAGGGGAGCTGCGAAATTTTTGGGTGTCCAAAAGATCGGCAGTTGGCTTGTGACACCTGAGTCAGGACCACTTTGTCGAGTGGCTCACTAATGGCTCACTAGGGTTCCAGCCCCCACCCACGTCTCGTCGGTGCATTCGGTGTCACTCTTTTGGGCCTGCTCCGGAGAGGCCCACTGGTCCGGATGAAGCATTCGAAAGAGGAGGCATGGTGGACGCACTCCAGCGGCACTCCAGCGCCTCGGTGTTTGCGCACGGGTTCCAGCTGTTCATGACGGGCCTAAGTGACATGTTGTTTCGAGGACACTAGGTAACTGAAACAGATGTGGAGGGATCCATAACGGTTCACATGGTCCCCAAATGATCCCAACTTTTATTACCTTTTTTTTCACGGTGGAGGAGCTGAAAAGGAAGTGAGTTTTGATGTTCTTTTGCTTTCGCCTGAGGCTGCAGCTGCAGCAGAAAAAGCTCCACGCTGTTCCACCTCAGCTATCCGTCCACCTTCAGTCGCTCCAGCCAACCTGGATTCACCTCACTTCCTCCGCTTGCACCACACGCCGCCTCGCCTGCCTTTGCCGCGAATGATGAGCAATCCTTGCAACCTCGTTTTGACACCAAAGTTTGTGCGGGCTTTCGCACAGAGCATCTCTATCATTTGGCCAATCTTGCGCTTGGTGATCGAAACGGGCAGACCTATGAAAGATCTTGTTTGATGCATCCATGAACTCGGTTTGGTGTCGGGTGTTTGTCGGCCATTTGGTCAAAGAGCTTTACTAAGCAAGAGAGAGTGACGTGCTTTTTGCTTGAGACACACCTGGCTGGGTCACCTCGGAATCTTCCATCATTTTTGATCGAGACTCAGACGGTGTGCATCCGGGAGTCATTGGGATCTCTTGCAGAGCTACTCTGGCTGCGCATGTTTGATCCAAACCGTTGAGATTGACTGCCTTTGCTCAAAGGTCCAGCTTTTGAGCCTTGACGGGCGGGAATGACAGCTTCGAAGAAGTGCGACTTGGTCGCTGCTTGGGAGGTCGACTCTGGTCACTTTCTGGTCACTCTGGTTCTTGCTAGCTGCCAGTGCAAGCAAAGAGCTCCGCGGCGCCTTTGTTCGATTTCGGAACAGCCTTGGTGAACTCTGACAGCGCCTTGGCTTCGCAAATTGAAGCTTATTCTCAGATGTTATGCTGTTCAATGCTGTTCATGTGCAGATATTCACCGTTCCGGTGTTGACTTTAAATGTTGACTTCGCTGTGCCGAAGCCAAATGAATTTTACAATATGTTACATATGCTTCAATTTTTGGGGAGAGAAGGACTCACAATGCCCAGCAAACCGAAAGATCTTAGGAGATTTCTCAGATCTGTCTTTCATGCTCTGTTCCGCCACTCGACGATCGGCGAAACTCTTCTGCATTGGATCATCCTTGAAACGCTGGATGACACCTGCAAGAAGGGAGCTACGTCGGAAAACGAAAGCGAGCTCTTCAGTTTGGGGTCTCATTACACCAGCAAACCATCGTAAACCTGCTGGCCCAGCAGAATCGCAGAGAAACGCCACTTTTTTAAGAGAGGCCTGACCAATGAATTGACTTTAGAATAAAGCCATAGGAAGGTTGGAGATGTGCATGGCATTTTGGCGGATGAAAAAGATCATTGGGCAGATATGGAGAGAACATGTACATTTTGGGGAGGCCAATGTCTTGCCCAAAGCTGAGGTTGTTTGCTTCGCGAAAATCTGTAGCAATGAAGTGAGCACGAACAAACCAGGTTGGAGGTTCAGAACAGTCCTTTGGGGCACGGTGCACTGGGAGGTTCGTAGCTCAATTCTTTATGACAAGAAAATGGAGTTCTTTGTGACTCTTGTGGTCAGCCTTTGAGGCAGATGTTGAACCAACTGTCCGTCATTGCTCAGTACCTAACGTGACTGACTGCACGGAAGCTCTTGCCGCTCCCGAGGTTCTTATGTCTCAAGAAGCCATCGATACCACGCACACGGCAACATTGGAAGCTCGCTTTATCCTGGACCTCAACGGCCAACGTCCTTTGTTTCCCTGGCACTTCCAGGTGGGGAGACTCTGCCAACGCGATGTTTATTACACCAATGCAGCCAATGCATGAGGAATCAGTGTTTTGGTTTCGACACATTGTTTGTGCTTCGCGCGAAACGGGAACTGCAGGTTGGTCGGGTTGGTATCCCAATTCATCCTTTCTTCAAATCCACCAATGCAAACAAAGTGACGGCAGACTTCTGAAATAAGTGGGTCAACATCCTGAGGTCGTAGCACCAGTCTGGGAGTCCATCGCAAGAATCCAAGAGCTTCCCTGCTTTGATTGTTGGCCAGAATGAGTCGATTTCCTGGCTTTCCAAACTTAGACCGAGCCTCCTAGCTTCTCAAAAATCATTTACAACATGTTGTACACTTGAAGTATTTCATCATGTGTTTCCCCTTGCTTTTTAAGCACAAATATCTGGATTGCCTTGACTCGGTTTTTGTGCCGTTGGATCGGCACCGTGGCACCGCAGGCGGGGCTTTCGAACTCGCAGGTGCCACGGTGGCTCGTCAGTTAGAAGCAAGGTGCTCGTTTTCGATTGGACCCTGTGGGAGACGTTTCAGCACCCGTTGGTAGACTGAAGACCCCCCTGCAACCCAAAGGTGAGGCTTTCTAGGACTAGTTCAAGCTTGAGATAGTCACTAGAAGCTGCTGGGCGAGAATCCAAGAACCATTGTCTGCCTCTTGTGCCGCCTCTTGTGTTTCTATATCTTCAAGAGTCCTTTAGCGCCGAGAGGTTGATGTTTCGACCAATCAAAAAGAGGTGGAAGCTGCCTCTGAGGTGGAAGGACAGTGATGGGCAGCGCGAAGGTTTAGACACCGCCTTTCTTCTGAGACCCTCAGATATCAGTCGCGATGTTCTAGAATGTTCTAGAGAGATTCAAGGCATCCGTTGAAAAGAAGCTGTTCAGATACTCAGTTTCCTGTTTTGCATCAGCCCCAGGCTGTGTTGTTGGAATGAGAAGTTCGGAGGAGTCCCCGTGAAACAAAACTTCAGTGGAGACAAGTGTGAACTTGCTACTAGTGTTGCTTTAAAGGTCCAAGAAGACAGGCGATGTGTTCGAAAGAGGCCAGGTGACCTCAGACGATCTTGGGCACTTTCGCCTTTGGAAGTGTTTTTCTTTTGATGTGCCTCCAAGGTCCCACAGGTTCCAATCTTCAATCCAATTTCGCCACTCATTTAGGGAATCCGGACTGCTTTGGGGGATCTCCAAACTTGGTCTTGCTCTTGACGTCTTATTGCGGCTTCTAGATCCTGTTTAGGCTGCTCTCCAGGTTCAATTGAGAAACCAATGCTGTTCTTGTTGCTCCAAGCCAGCGCCATATATGATGATGGCAAGAAACCATGAGAGCTCACAGGCGCACCCGAATGAACGAAGCTGCGGCGTACCCGAATATCCACTTCTTGGACCTGAGCATCGCAGAAAACGATCGAAGCAGTTCAACGATCGAAGCAGAACAGTTCTGTTGTTGTTTTGGACAACGAATCTCATCGAAGCGATGAACGTCAAGGAGAGTCTAAGACGATGCGAAGTGAGTCCGGGACCTTCGACGGTGACACGTGGCTCACGGGGCTCACTTCTCGAAATTCGAGCGAGGCACTTCCGGTACGAAGAGTGAGCACTTCTCGGTTGTAAGTGAGTTGGAACAAGCATCCTCACCATCTTGAATGAAAATGCACACATACTTGGGTTCACCACAAGTCAGCTGTTTGGATTTCAGAAGATCGGATGGGGCCTTGGGAGGACATCTCCCAAAGATATGATGAGCTCAGTCACTTGGTCTAAGAGTCTAAGTGAGAGTCGGGCGCATCAATTAGAGTTGCTTTCTCATTGTTTGAGTTCGCAACGACAAATTTCTCGTTGTCAGACATTCCATGGAGTCTCTTGATCAACGGAAGTTCCATCCCTCGCATCACTGCCCTCTCAGAATACATCAAGAATCTCCATCGCCCTGTAGAATTTGATTGATAATACACATTTACTGCTTGCGTTCACCACGAGTCAGCTGTCTTGCTTTCAGATTGGATGGGGCCTTGGGAGGCCTGCACGGCCGAGGATATGATCGTCCGTTTTCCGGACTGCAGGTGTCTTGAAATGACCGGAGAAGGAATCAGTTTCTTGAAACGATTAAAAAATTGTTGCATATATTTAGCACTGATTTGACAATCATTTGTCGAGATCAGCTCCATTTGTTGGCGCGGGATTCGCAGATTCCTTGGCCATCTCTCCATTCTGGACACGTGAGCTTCAATAGCTTCACTGTCAGGTTCTCACATGTTTGATTCAAACATTTGGTGTAATAGACTGAGATTCATGACATGAATCACCTCGAAAGACAGGACGAAAAGAATTCAGGGGAAGGGAGTGAAGAAGAGAGGGAGAGCTGCGGAAGCGTTTTCCTGTTGCAAAGGCCTTTTGCCTGAGATCGGGATGGACAGGCTAAGTGGCTTCGCGAATTCTGCATCTCCACAGTGGCTCTCTATGGCTCCGGCCCACTCGGGTTTCCTTTCCTTTTAAGTATATAGTCCTTTTCGTTGAAGCTTCCTGTTGGGATTGACGAACTGACAAGGGTGGAACGATCGACGCTAAGGACCGCAACAAAACCAATACAAGCCAAACACAAGTCAACGATGTTTTGGAGTCTCCTGCAAGATTGCGAGAAGATTGCAGAAAGTCTTGGCAGCTAATCATGTGGTCCGACTGCTTGGCCACAAGTAAGTAGCAGAGATCGGTTGCATGCAGCGTACGGCGTATGTCACGTTGTCAGTGTGGGCTTGGACGGCCGTGCGATGTTTTTTGTTTAACATAGGGCCTGCCGGCTCAAGATGAGAACAACGTCAGGGTAGATCAGAGCCGGTAGAACTTGCCATGCCGGGTGGGCGGCGTGTCTCGTTCTACGGGCACGTGCACCCCCACCGAGGTCGATGCCGGGTGACCGTTGTGTCGTTCTGCGGCGCGTATACCGAAGACTGGGCGATGTTGGTCGACCGGGCGTATAAGCTCCAAGAGGCCACAGAAGGTCTAGAAGACGCGTACAGTGCAGGAAGCACTGCGTGCGTGTTCTTGCCCCCCGGCAGCAGCCTGTTTGGCTTGCATGCACCGAATACCGAAGATGAAGATGCAAAAAAACGCAACGAATGTTGGTGTTTTGCGCTGTATGGCGCATTGCAAGAATTCGGCTGCCGGTGGTTTGCAGAATGGTGCAAACAGATGCTCAAGGCGGTCGAGAACGGCCATACCCTGGTGGTTGTCTTTAAGGCATCCCAGAAAGGCGAAGGCATGGACGTGGAATGGCCACCGCGGATTGCCTGCACGGCTGCAAACAGAGGCCTGCCCGGTCTCGGGGTGTCCCAAAGGGGTGAAGTTGCCTACATGAAGAAGTTAGGCAGTAAGTTAGGCTTCACCCTGGAGATGGAGGACATCCACGAGTTCCGGCAGAGGTTCCTAGGGGAACTGAAGGCGGAGCAAAGCGTGCGGGCAGAGCGAGGTGAGGCGGAGCAAGACGAGCTGAACCTTCAGGTGGAACAGCTGGAGCTAGAGCTGCAGCTGAAAGACCTGAAGGTCACGGAGGAGAAGGTGTGGAGATACACACACATGTCACACGTCGTTTTTTGTTGCTGGGAAAACTGTGTTTTCTTTTTGCTGAGAGTCTCACGAATTTTGCGGTTGCAGTGTTGGATGCAAGGTTTTCTTTTACGGTTGCACGTGCTTGCATGTGCCCGAGCCAGGAGAAGGCTGAAGAAAAGCTGAAGAAAGTAAAGGCTGACCCAAAAGAGTCCAAGTTTAAACATGCAATTCTTGTCCAACTTCAGTTTCAGACCGAACAGGACTAGTTATTTGTTGCTTGAACTATAAACTTCTGGCTGTCAAGCCTTCCCTTCCAGAGCCAAAGCGACAGGACATGCGGGCAGGCCCTGACCTCACCAAGTGTTTAGGGACACCAGGCTGACATGGAAGCACCACGGAGGTGTTTGAAATGGACATTGAAAAGCATGATTTGCATGTGTTTGGCTCAAGGATATCTCAACGAGATCCGAGGTCTTGCGCCGATCCACGTGGCAGCAAGAGATGGAAAGGTGGACGAAATGAAGAAGTTATTTCACCAAGGCACCAACAAGGCCAGATGTTACTGTGAACAGCTGTGAACTGCTGACCTACAGCTAAGTTTTCATCATCCTTGCAGGTAGGGCAGGTAGGCTGTACTCTTTGTGCTTGCGTCTCAGTTCTCCCTGTGTTTGCTGGAAGGAGGAACGCACCAAGAATGGTTTGCAGCCCAGAAGTTTTCCCGCGCCCAATCTACATTCTGCGTTTGCTCAAGTCGAAATGCAGCTCCATTTGGGTGCAAAGCTGAAGTTGAGGCGACACAGCCCTGCATTGGGCGGCCACCGGGGGCCATGCAGAGATCATCAACTTCCTGCTCGACTCTGGGGTGGTCAAGGCTCCAGATGTGCTCCAGCACTTGAGTTGTTCGTTTGTTTGTTTCCACCCTTTTTGGGGTTTTGTTTTTTTAACTGTTGGAGGCCAAGAATGCTTTTGGTGGGAGTCTCAGCAGGGCCAATGCTTAGATTTGAAGGCATTCATTGCCACATAGTGCAGAGAGGCGGAGTTTTCTAATGTTTTCTTTGGCAAAGATCACTTCGCAAATCCGCAACGCGGATCGCCCCAAATCTTTCACACATGCACCATTGGACAAGAGGAGGCCTGACTCAGCCAAGAAATCTACATAATCTACATACATATCCAGAATTGAGCACATGTTGTGTTTTTCACAAAGTTTGGTGAACTCTTGAAACCCAAGAAGTAAACCTGATGGCAAGCTAGCAATTATGCGCGCAGTACTTGTTCAGATTTAGCTCCACAAAGAAGGAACTGTGGAATAGGTCTACCCGACACCGCTCCATATCAATTATTGTTTGACCTTATGGCTTGCTGTGTGAGGGGATTCCAGCCAAGGAGAGTCGCCACTGCACTGTGCAGCAGAGTCCGGACAGAATGCCATTATGCAGGTGATGCTGAAGCATTTCAATCAGGCGGACGAGCTGTTTCATTTGATTTGACATATATATTCATTCATTCTGCAGAGCGTGTCCTGCCCTGCAACATGCTATATCATACCATTCCATGTTCTTAGAACTCGGAGTTGAGACCTCCAACTCCAAATCGATCTCTTTGACAGGAGTGCGCGGACGACTATGGTGTGGGTCCTAGCGATCCCATGTTGTCGGCGGTCCTTGCCGAAGAGCTAAGGCGACAGGTCACTGCACCGCGCGGCCCGCAAGGGCCATGAGAAGGTCGTCAAGATCCTTTTGGAGAACAAGGCGAACCAGGAGGGGATCGGGCTTGACTCACTCACAGGGTTGGATTTGTTGCCGAGTGTTTTTTGCTGTGGCCGGCCATTAGGGTGGTGTGGTGTGGCCTTTTGCATATTTTCCCAACGTTTGGAACGGCATGAGGGATATACGACTAGATCGACTATAGGAACCTGCCGTCCATGAGTCCGATAAAGGCAGGGATCCCTTTGCCATTGTTTTTTGCACTCCACACCAGGAGGCCCAGAACAAGTTTGGCCCGGAGTCTCAACTTGATGAATGGACGCACGATGTATGACAACGATGGCTTTTGCTTAAAAAGCAAGATGCTCAGCGAGTCTGAGGCCGCACCGCCCTGCTTTTGGCAGCTGACTGCGGTCACGTGGCAGTGACAAAGACGCTGCTCGAGAATCAGGCTGACAAGGAGCTCCTGTCCTGAGCTCATGCTCCGCGGTGTTGCTTTAATTAACCCGGGGCTCTTGAAAAGGTTTTGATCGCCCTCGCGCCTGACCCAGCCCTTCCATTGTTTAGATTGCCAGGTTT